CTCATCACCAAAATAACACCACACCTACAGTGAAGCGCGGTGGGGGCAGCTTCATGCTTTGGGGCTGTTTTTCTTCAACTGTTGTTGTGGTCAGGGTGGAGTAGGGTGACCAAACGTCCGTTTTTCCCCGGACATGTCCGTATTTTGCATCCTGTCCGGGGCGTCCGGGGTTTTTTTTATAAAGTGATGCAAATGTCTGAGTTTTCAGTACCGTTCATTGGGTCGTTAAACTGAGCGTCTCTCGTAGCGTCTGTGACTCAGGAGCGAGACACAAACAGTCGCTCAGTCTGCAACATACTGAAGTACAAAAGTGCATTTAACAACGACTTGTACAAGAAAATTCTGTTTTTCGTCCCGGTCGAGACAAGTGTGAGTCCATGTGCACAGGTGGAGGTGAGAGGACAGTGTCCCTCGTTTATCGTGGGGGTTATGTTCTAAAAATAACCTGTGACAGGTGAAATCCACCAAGTATCAACTTTATATTTTACAATTATTCAATCTGTGTTAAGTTTGTAAAACCTCAGCACAAACTTTATACACTTTTCTCCGACAGGATCGACAGGTGCAACACTTTTTACATCCTTCTTCAAACTTGTTGCTGCTGTCGTCCTTTTGTTATTTTCCTTCTTTATGTAACAAACTGAAGATTCATTTATTCTGTAATGGAGCCGACAGAGCAGAGTCCAGTACAGGACCACACCTGCACAGGACAGGACCACACCTGCACAGGACAGGACCGCACCTGCACAGGACAGGACCACACCTGCACAGGACAGGACCGCACCTGCCCTTTAACCTGAGATTATATCAAACTTTTGCGCTGCCTACACCACGGACTGAACCAAGACTAAACCAGGACTAAACCAGAACTGAACCAGGACTCACTGTCAGGACGGGCTCGGAGGTGACACAGGAGAAAGGAGCGGCTCAGCTCCGCCCCTCACAGAGTTAAACGCGGCAGTTGCCCGATGGCGTTTTGTGGACAAACTGCTCGGCGTTTTCTCTCTTAAGTCCAAGATTAGTCCTGGTTTAGACCTGGTTTAGTCCTGACTCACCCGTGTGTAATTACTACCAGCCTGAAATACACAATAACGTTCATACACTGTAAAAAATTGCACTAAAAAACAATCTGAGAACCCCCCCCCCCCCCCCAAAGGTGTCTGGGTTTTCACAACGGAAATATAGTCACCCTAGGGTGGAGGGAATTATGACCAGTTCCAAACAACAGTCAGTGTTGGCACAAAACCTTCAGCCTTCTGTTAGAAAGATGAAGATGAAGAGGAACTTCATCTTTCAGCACGACAAAGACCCAAAGCCCACATCTAAATCAACAAAAGAATGACTTCACTGGAATAAGATGGAGGTTTTGGAACGGCCCAGTCAGAGTCCAGACCTGAATCCCGTCAAACACCTGTGGGGTGACCATGATCTGAAGAGGGCTGTGCACAGGAGATGCCCTCGCCATCTGAGTGGGCAAATATTGCCACATCAAGATGTTCCACGCTGATAGACTCCTACCCACAAACACTGAGTGCTGTAATAAAAGCCAAAGGTTCTGCAACAAAGTTTTAGTTTAAGGCTGTGCATATTTATGACACCAGGTTATTTCAAGTTTTTTATTTTATATTTTTCCCCTTGAAAGTTTTCAGTTTGTTTTTCAATTGCGTTGTACAGGTTTTAGGTCACATTAAAGGTGGAAAAAGTGGTGAAATCATTTGTCTTGCTGTCATTATTTTACATGACAAAACCTGGCATTTGAACAGGGCTGTGCAGACTTTTTATATCCACTGTAAGTCTCCACAAACTGATTCATGTTTAGTTTTCATTCTTATTATTATTATTTTCATTCTTATTATTATTTTCATTCTTATTATTGATTAATTTTAATGTAGTTTGAGTCTGATAACAGAGTCCATAATTTGAGTCATATCTGCGACAGACCCGTCCCCGTGTCTCTTCTGAAGAACATTAAACTGACAAATGTAAATGTTCTAAATGTTTTAAATGTTCAAATATTTCAATGTTTTAAATGTTCAAATATTTAAATGTTCAAATATTTCAATGTTTTAAATGTTGTGATGTTTTGTTTTCAGGTGAAGGTGATTCTGGGCGAGGACCGAGAGGCCACAGGGATCCTGCTGAGCATCGACGGAGACGACGGCATCGTACGGATGGAGCTGGACGACCAACTCAAGATCCTCAACCTCAGGTCTGTTCTAGTCCTGGTTTAGTCCTGGTTTAGTCCTGGTTTAGTCCTGGTTTAGTCCTGGTTTAGTCCTTGACCCTCTTGTGTGTTTGTGTGCAGGTTCCTGGGGCGTCTGGAGCATTGAGCCTTTTTCTTCATCTTCTCTTCGTTTTTGTTTTTTTTAGTTTTTCTTCAGTGAAAGTTTTTAGTCTTTTTCTCGTCTTTTGTTTTGACACAAAAACTCTGTTTCATGTGAATAAAGATTCTGCAGCTCAGATTCATTCTGTTCAATAAAAGGATTTTATTCAACTCAAATACTTTTGTACTCGTCATCTGTACTACTACTACTACTACTACTACTACTACTACTGCTACTACTACTACTACTACTACTACTACTACTGCTACTACTGCTACTGCTACTGCTACTGCTACTACTGCTACTGCTACTACTACTACTACTACTGCTACTACTACTACTACTACTACTACTACTACTACTTGCTACTGCTACTGCTACTACTACTACTACTACTACTGCTACTACTACTACTACTGCTACTGCTACTGCTACTGCTACTGCTACTGCTACTACTGCTACTACTACTGCTACTACTACTACTACTACTACTACTGCTACTGCTACTACTGCTACTACTACTACTACTACTACTACTACTAGCTACTGCTACTGCTACTACTACTACTACTACTACTGCTACTACTACTACTACTACTGCTACTGCTACTGCTACTGCTACTGCTACTACTGCTACTACTACTGCTACTGCTACTACTGCTACTGCTACTACTACTACTGCTACTGGTACTACTACTGCTACTGCTACTACTACTACTACTACTACTACTACTCCTGTCAGAGAATTTTACCCTAAGACATCAGTTTACGTTAAATAAAGACACATCAAAACGAGACGGTTTAGTTATACTTGTGGAAGGAGAGAGCTGTTTGTAACACTGTCTGACCTCCTCTGACAGACACTCCCCAACAGCAGCTTTTATTGAAGTCATTTCACAGATAATAATACAGTCCATTATGTTAAACTCATGATGTTTACCATTACTATTTGTTTCTCCTGGCACATTGTCTTAACCCATTGACGCCGGATGCTGCGCAGCGCTGAGTCTCCTGTCCGGATTGTCTGGCGATCAGCGTCACTGGTAAAGGCGGGGCCACACCTGGAAGCATCGGGGGGCGTGTCCTCCTCTCACTTCCATTCACTCCCGTAGAGAGACACAAAACTGCCGGAGCTTTATTGTCACGTTAAACCTTCTTTATCGTGGTGTATTATTTCTCCATTGAAAAATAATCCAAATGTTTCCCGCACATGTTTCCATCAAGACCTGGTTTGAAGTAACAAACGTTGTTCTTTACTGCAGAACATGAACGCAGCTCAAACACTTGATCTGTTCACTGTTCCAGACGCTCCTATAACAGGTGCCATATCACTGTGTCGTGTAACAAATAGACATGGTCAAACACAAATGTTGTCCGTGTCTTCACTGTCATTGTCACTGTCAGCATTTTTGTGTTTGACCATGTTCATGTGTTACACGACATAGTGATATGACACCTGTTATAGGAGCGTCTGGAACAGTGAACAGATCAAGTGTTTGAGCTGCGTTCATGCGCTGCAGTAAAGAGCAACGTCCTGTGCCAATCGGTTAAAAGTGTACCTTTTACCCTTGTACATGAACGCAAACCAATGCTGACTATCTTCATGAATGCGGATGCTCCAGAAAGCATTGCTTAGATCAACGACAGAAAAATATTTGGCTTCTGGATCTAGTTTGTTTAGCAAGGTGTGGGGATTGGGGACGTTGGACTGCCTGATTCACTGCCCTCAGGTCTTGTATCAGCCTCCATCCTATTGAAGGCTCGTGCTTTTTGATTGGGAAGATTGGGGTGTTACAATTAGAATCGGAGCAAGGGACTATTATTCCTGCATCTAATAGTTCATTGATGACTGGAAGAATGCCTGCTTCAGCATCTTTTTTTAGTGGGTTTTGTTTCACCTTTGGCCTGCGTTCATTTTTGCCTTTGATCACTACTGGTTCAACATCGTTCATTAAGCCAACATCTGATGGGCCCTTGCTCCACAGGGTCTCTGGGATATTTTCTAATGCTCTCTCTTCCATTTCTGTTCGCTGAATGTGTCACACATCATCAGTCTCATATTTAATATGGACTTGAGGATACAATGAAATTCTCAAGTTTAAGTAGCATCTGGCCCACCCCGTTTGAGTTGAGATTTCCTCCTTCTCTGAGATCTGTTTCCAATCTCTTATTTATTTATTTATTTATTTGGGTCACAGGTATATTTTGACATGAATTCATAAACAGTCATATTTAACATATACAGACTGAAAAGGTGCAGGCTGAAGCTTAAGCTTATTCTGCCTTTACCCTTTATTCCTTTGTCAGAGCTTCATCTTGACACCAGTTCATCTTCATAAATACAGCAGGAAGAAACAAACAAATCAGTAACAGAACAACAAAGTTCTACAGCACAAACTAAGTCTCATATTTCATGTATCTGTCCAGAGTTAAACATTTAAACTTCTTTATGAAGTGAAAGAAAGTGGTGCACAATTTTAGGTTTTCTGTACAGTTGTTCCAGAGCTCCAGCCCTTTAACAGATTTACAAAATGTCATAATGTTTGTTCTGATTTTCTTTTTAATAAACATGGTCGTGCCTCTGAGCTCGTATCGGCTCTTTTGGATTTTGAACATGTTCTGTAACGATTTCGACAGGAGATTGTTGTTTACTTTGAACATGATTTTAAGAGTGTAAAGGTAAAGACTAAATCATAAAATTTCAGCGTTTGAAGGTTTATAAATAATGCATTGGTTGGTTCATTATAAGTTGATAATGTGATGCTCTTATTGCCTTTTTTTGTAGGGTAAAGATTGGCTTTGTATTCGTCTTATATGTATTGCCCCAAATCTCAATACCGTAGGTTATGTCGGGCATTACCAGCGAGTTATATATAATAAAAAGACTGTTTTTATCTAGGGTATATCTATATTTATATATAATTGCGATCACTTTGGATAGTTTGTTCCTAATTGTATTAATGTGTGATTTCCAGTTTAAATTATGATCTATGGTTATTCCTAAAAATTTATTTTGAAAGACTCTTTCTAGTGGTGAATTATTGAGCATAATTTGTACATGATTTTGTACTTTTCGCTTTGCAAATACCATAAATTTAGTTTTTTCTATGTTTAGCGATAATTTATTAATATCAAACCAAACTTTAATTTTCTGCAGCTCCCTCTCCACCATTTGAAAAAGCTGCCTTTGGTCTTCACCTGAGCAGTAGAGGTGGTATCATCTGCGAAGAGCACATCATTGAGCATTTTTGATGCCGAACATAAATCATTTATATACATAATAAATAGTTTTGGCCCAAGCGTCGAGCCCTGTGGAATTCCACAATTTACTTTCAACAATACAGATTTTTTATTATTTATTTCAACATACTGGTATTGGTTTTGTAGACAGCTTTGTAGCTGCACATGCACAGGTCCTCGCAGTCCATATCTTTCTAATTTTTGCAATAATATATTATGATCGAGGGTATCAAAAGCCTTCTTAAGGTCAATAAAGATACCCACACTGTATTTCTTTGAATCAATTGCTGTAGATACATTTTCTACCAATTCCATAACAGCCACTGAGGTGGAACGATTTTTCCTGAATCCATATTGATGGTCACTTAGGAGCTCATATTTTTCTATGAATTTATCTAATCGATGAACAAATATTTTTTCTATTATTTTTGAGAATTGAGAGAGTATTGAAATTGGTCTATAGTTTGAAAATATATATTTTTTCCCCATTTTTGTATACTGGAAACACTCTTGCTATTTTCATTTTATCTGGAAATGTGCCCATTTTAAATGACTGATTACATATACGTGTCAGTGGATCTGCTATGAGCTCTGTTGTTTTCTTGATTAGGTTCATGTCTAGGCCAGCTGCATCTTTGGATGTTTTTGGTTTGAATTGTTTTACTATTTTAACTATCTCATTTTCATTTGTAGGATTCATATAGAAGGAGTTTGGGTTTCTACAGACTGTGTTACATGGAAGAGAGTTCCTGTGCATTTCTATAGATTTTGCCAAGTTATTACCCACATTAACAAAATACTGATTGAACCCATCTACAGTCTCTTTTATAGTTTCGAGTCTGGTATTATTTTGTGTAAAGAGGTTTGGGATTCATGTTTTTTGTCTCTTATTTCCATAATACTGTTTATCACTTTCCATGTTCCTTTTATATTTTCCCTTTGCTCTTGAAGTAATTTGTGAAAGTAGTTCTTTTTACAACTTCTCAGGATGCTTATCAATTTATTTTTATACTTTTTATATTTAATTTCAGATTTCTTTGTTCTGAGTTGGATAAATCTTTTATATAGTAAATTTTTTTTCTTGCATCCATTTTCTAGTCCTTTCGTTATCCAAGGCTTTTTAACACAGTTTTGATTTTCATTTACTTTTTGCAATGGGCAGTTTTTTTCATATAGTTTGATATATTTACACAAGAAGGTTTCATAAGCATCATTGGGATCAGTCTGATTGTACACATCATTCCAGCTAAGTTTGTTTAAGTCCTCCTTAAAATTATTTAAAGACTGGGGTGTTAATCGTCTTATGAATTTGTATGATTTTGATTTGTAATCATAATTCAGTTCATTACAGTTCTGAAAAAACTGCAAAAACTGGAAGGTGATCACTTATGTCACTAATCAGGAGTCCTCCAATTGTTTTACCTTCAAATTTTACTGGAGAATATATTATCTATCAGTGTAGTAGTGTCAGTGGTAATCCTACTTGGTTTATCTCTGATTGGGATGAGCATATTACAGTACATCATGTTCATGAAGTCTGCTGTTTTCTCGTGGGCAGAAGCATTCATAAGATTAATGTTAAAATCCCCACATATAATTTGTTCTTTTCCTTTGGACCCATTTGTGTTGAGCCAATCATGCATTTTTTCATTAAATTTATCTATGGGGGATCCTGGGGTTCTGTATATACATGTGACTTGCACATTTCTGGATTTTTTAAATTCGATCTCAATAGTGACACATTCTAATATATTTTCCACAGTTATTGATTTGCTTTCAAAAAGTTTACAAGTTCGGGCTGAGTCCACATACAGAGCAACACCCCCACCTTTTTTATCTTTCCTGTTTACTGTAAATAAATCATATCCTGCCATTTGCACCCCAGCAAGTTTGTCATTATCCAACCAGGTTTCGGATACAGCTATGACACTAAATT